TTCATTAGTGAGTCTGCAGGTTGTTCATAGCAAATTGGCAGTTAGTAGGCAGCTAGCCAGCCAGTTAGCTGACTATCAGAATGCCCGCACTCCGGTACAGAGACAGCACATGAGAAAGATTCTTGTTTTGAGGGCTGCCTCCCTGCGATGGAACTAATGCCATATCAAAGAGGGGTGTGGCTGGGAAGCTGCTTCGGGGAACACCATTGGGATATCAGGGTGAAACCGCATGAGAAGTTACTTTCAAACTTTGGGGCCACAGCAAGGTTTGGTGCCCCACCCTTCCTCAAAGAATTGTCCTGTTGCCACATTTCTGCAGCGGATAACGGCCCTTTGGTCCGTGATGCTAAGCCAACCGTTGCTCTGGACGAATCCTCCAGTCCCATAATGGGGAGCGTGGATACATAACTGGTCTTTCTTACTTTGGGCTGGCCCTTCTGTCTCATCACCCACACCTTGCCAGAGTCCTTCCGATCTAATTTCTCCACCTCAAGATGACTCCCATTTGACCCTGCCTCACATGTAGTAGAGCTCTGCTGGGTCTCCAGAAAGCCTTGTACTTCGAGGAAAACTTGAGTCTCATCTTTTAAAAAGAGCTACACCACAGTGTGGACGCATTAGAAACTTCCTCCAGCCATGGTCAGCACGTTCTTTCCGGAGTATGGTCTAATGCCACTCTTCCAGAACCTGGTGACTCACTGCCCTCCCTGTGCACCACCACTACCACACTGGTTGGTCGGTCGGCCTTTATCAATTATTTGCCAAGGATTTCCCTGTGCACTGCTGGAGAAAGGCACGCACGGGAGGGGGCCTGTGAGCAGAAGCTGAGGCGTGTCCTCCAGATCTCCTGAACATAGGAAACACGGGGGCCCTTCAGGAGGAGGCAGAACTGGGGGGCCTCCGGGTATTCATTCCTCTCAGACCTTACTTGTTTCTCCTCCCTGGGTTGGGACTGGGGGAAATGAGCTGGGAAAGGAAGATGTGGAAGGGAGAAGAGGTACTTGGCCAGTGATAGGAATTCCTCAATTCTGAATTTGAATCATTGAGCTGGATGACAGGCTCCTGAGAGCAGGGCTCTTTTCTGGGTTGGTAATTTACATCTTTCTTTGAGTGGAAGGGAGTGGGTGGTGGGTGGTGTCAGTGGTGCGGGCTGGCCACTTCCTAGCCTAGAAAAGGGACTGTCACTTGACTTCAGAATAGAGTGAAAGTCATACCCACAGGCTAGGACACCCCTTGTCCTGTTCGCGTCAATTTGACTTAGAGACAGGAATGGAAAGGGACAGAGGCTGATGGGAGAGGTTGGGGACATCAGCAGGCAGATGGATGTAGCTAATGCTGAGAATTGAGGGGCTAATCTGGGAAACCTTAGCGACTGAAGACTCTGGGACCTCTGAGGATGGGGGAGCAGGCCTACTCTTGCCCTAGGACTCCTGCCGTGTGGAGGGTCCTGAGGCCAGGTTTGTCTTTGGGGTCCTGTGGGGAGGGAGGGAAGGTAGCCACACAGGGAAGCGGAGGTGGAAGGCGTCTGCTTCAGACTGGTAGAGCGGTAGAGGACCAGCTGTGCTAGGGAGGTCTTGAAGACTGCCCAGAGGCAAAGAGGTCGCCCTGGCTCCCAGCAGGGCTGTCCTTGGTCTAAGGTCCCTAGACTGAGCCAGGCCGGTGGCCCAGGCACTGTCTGTGGGAGTCCCGGCCCTCAGCACCTTCCTGCCGGCCTGGGCCCCATCAAGGCCGGAGCAGAGGCCTAGCACCTCGCCACCAGCGCCACCATTTCGCCGGGCCTCTTCTCTCCAGGCCCGCAGGAGGACCATCACCCTCTAAGGCCGGGTTCAGTGCCCGCTGCCCGGTTGGGCAGGGACGCGAAGGGGCTGGGGAGCACCGAGCCGTGCCCAGAGGCGACTGCCGGAGGGGGTGCGGGGCAGAGCGGGGCGCAGGGATGGGAGGGTGTGGAGTGCTGGATCGGTAAAGTGCGTGCGACCGTGGGGTCTGCGGGCGCTGCGAGCCTGGGAAATGGGCGCACACCGCCGGCTCGGAGCGGGTCTCGGACAGGGATGCCAGGCGGCGGGGAACCCGCGGCCTCCTGGGCGTCGGCC